CATTTTCATTTCGAAGGGACTCTAACAAACAGCAATGATTTTACCAGTACAAATGTTTCCAGTACATATTTAGCAGGATAATTACAATGGATAATGTGGCAACTAGTAATGGATACTGGTCCTGTAGTTTAGCCTTTAATCCAGAAACATACCAATTAATAATAAATAATTAGTAAATATATTTAAGTCATGACCTTTGCCTCTAAGTGCATAAAATCTAAGTGTGAAAACAAATACAGACATAAAATCAGTGGTATGCTGAAATCAGGGTGTGTCGGCATATGAGAGCTGATTGCCAAGCCTGTTGTTAATCACTGCCATTAACAAAAAATAAATTTATAAATAAAAAATTTATTTATATTAAAAATATAGGCAGTAAATATCCTAAACCCATCATTTCACACCTATTTTACTTTAATTTACTATTATTTATCTTCTTGAGGTTTTTGTATCCTCCAGAACATAGAAATCCTGTCTAATGGTGTATAGCTATATATCTTTTCCCAAAACCATGTTCAAAGATATCAAATTGGCCAGTAGGAATAAATAACCCATGGAAAATAGCAAACACACCAGAGATGGTAGTGCACACCTGTAATCCTAACTTCTTGGAGGCTGAGGCAGGAGAGTCACAAGTTGAAGGTCAGCCTCGGCAACTTAGTGACACCCTGTCTCAAAGTAAAAAATTTTAAAAGGATCAAGGACTGATTTCAGCATACTACTGATTTTATGTCTGTATTTCTTGTTTTCCCACTTAGATTTTAAGTACTCAGAGGCAAAGTTCATATTTATTAGTTATTTGTTATTAATTGATATGTTTCTGGATTAAAGGCTCAATGCTTACCTTGCATGTCTGAGGCCCTAGGATCAGTCCCCAGTACCACAAAACAAACAAACAGACAGAAAGCAATGACCCTTTCCCCTTCTTGGCCCCCGATGAATATGAAACATTTACTAGCACTCTATCACATAGGATAATAATTAACAATGGAAATCATTGTATTAAAGGCCAACTGAATTTTTTATGCTTATAGGCATGGAATAAATTCAGAAAAGGTGGTGATAAGTGATAGCCCTCTGGCAAGTTCAAAAAGATAAGAATGAGTTTTACAGAAGGTACAAAAAAAAATAAAGTTGGCAATGATTTCATTAACAAGAAAAATTATAGCAGCCAAAACTTATAAACATGCCAAGTCTGAATTTCGATGGGTGAAATGTCTAATTTCTTCTTCCTTAGAGTATCTTTACATTGGTGTGTTAGTTGCCCTAGTATCAATGCAGACATTTTAAAATAGAAATAAAAGGATTAGTCCAACAGCATTGGCAGGTACTAACTCACAGCACTTGGAACTAATCTCTTCAGAAATTTCCAGTATCTCTGAGACTCTGTGCCTTACCTTTAGAGCTCTTGAATGCTCTAATTCCCACTAAACCTCCCAATGATCTCATTGAGTTCTCTCTTGATACTTGGTTCTCTCAATTGCATGCATCTCGTCAGTCTTGTCCTTGACCTTTCTCTCTTTCCTCCTTACTCACCTGTACCCAAGGCTTATCATCTGAGCTTTATGTCAGCATTCTTCATTGCCCTCAGTCCCTGTCTGCCTACTTACCAGCCAGAAACACCTCAATCCCTCTGCTGAGCAGAGCCTGAATTACACTCCTTTTACATACTTTTGGTTTATCTGCTCTTCCATGCCCCTTGGTAACTATTCCAGACTTCACCTCCTTCCATTCCCCACTGAAGTCTTCTCACCCACCGTCCTGTATGACACAAAACCTTGAGATTCCAAGAGGAATTCTCCAACACACCCTACCTTTCAAAAT